ACAGTACTTCTATTAAGGAACAGTATTATTTGCATGCATTTATAAGCCTATTAAAACGTTAAGGTTCTCCAAGAACCCTTTTCCTGCTCCCTGTGAGGTGCAAGCCACAAGGGTGGAACCTGCAAACCAGGCGCGGGTGGCTGAAGGAGGGAGGAGCCCTTGCAGCGGCAGGGCACATCTGTGCACGGATGGGCTCCCTGCCTCCTTCAAAGCACAGGGGCCAAAACGCAGCGCACGGCACCTACAGAGTGTGCTCTTCACCTAAAACTCAAGGAAGCAGACACTGGACATAAACTTCAAAAGCCGGAACATGTCTGCGACTCTTGCACACCAAAGGCAGTTTTTCACAGCGCAGCAGAGCGGCGCCAGCGACGATCTCGTGGCTTTGGCCCCGCGCCGCCCTTGCTGCCGCCGGGCAGCCCGCTGGCGAGCCAGGCCGTGCCGGGCACCAGCCCAGCTCGCCCGAGGCCACGGCGAGGCACCACGAGCCGAATCCAAGCCAGCAGCGCGCCACCGGCACCCACCCGAACAGCTCTCCCAACTTGCTGCCGAGGCGGCTGCAGGACGCGTGGAGACGGCAGCGGCCAGAACACACCGTTCTGGGAGGAGCGCCCGACGGGCTGAGAATGCGCTTCATTCGGCGCCGCGCAGAGCCCGCGGGCGCGGGGCTGGCGGCACCGTGCGCCCGTCCCGCACGCTCCGGCGCACCCCTCGACGGCAGCACCGCCCGCTCGGGGCGCAGGGCAGGCAGCACCGCCGCGACGCCCACAACAGTCCCACCGCGCAGCTCCCCGACGGGCAGCTCCCCGCCGCTCGGGACCTCAGCGCTGCCTCCACGGCGCCCAGCTCCTTCGGCGGCCGCGAGCGCGACGGAAACACTCCAGTGAAAACTGCTCATCTGCAAAGCGAAACACATGCCAAAACAAGAAACCATCAGGAAGAACGATACGGAAACTCAGAGCAAAACTCCTCGTGCGGTAGGAGTGGCCAAGCCAAGCAGCAAACTCTTAAAACACAAGCCATCCTCAGACCTGTTCTTCGGAAACGCACATTTCTTGCACCCAGACACTTTCCTGTGCAAGATGGAGCTTTAGGCTAAATCAACGAAGCCCATGCTAAAAGACTTTGTGCTAGAATAAGCCACATTTTTGTTAATTGGGGTAGATTTTAAAAATAAAATACATCTTCCACTGACTAAAAACTGCTTTTGCTAATTATAGCTTAGTCTGAGTGCCAAGTTAGGCCAGAAGGGGAAGCAGCAGGAACTGCCACTGCTTTAGAGGCAGGGAAAGCAGAAGAGGGAAGGGCCCGAGCAGAGAGAGCCCAGCAGCATCGCGCCAGCTCTGCCCCAAGGCCGCGCTCGACCTGCACAGCCACGTCGAGCAGCACGCTGATGCYCAGCGCTGGCTCCATCAGCTCCAAAAGGAGCTGCACGTGGCGAGCCAGGGGAAGGTGGTAGGACCTTCCTGAGGCAAAGCTTGGTATCTGCTCCAGGACATAGCTGGAAATCTGAGGAAATAYGTGATTCAGAGTCTTAGAGAGGTGCGGGCTCCATATATACCCCAAAATGCAAACCCCTTCTGGTAAGGGGTAATATCAAGTGAGAGCATAAAATACTAACAGATCATAAAATACTAACAGGATAACTAGTCCTGCTGCCCTGCCACGCGGGAGCCCCCGGGCAAAGCCCTCCTGCTGCTTCGCAGCCCTGCTCCAACCACGCTGCACAGCCGAGGATCACGCTCTCCCTCATATCCACCACGGGATCCTTATTCTGCACAGTATTTTTTAAAAGCAAAATTCAAATGCAAAAAAAGCACCAAAGGTGGAACGTAATTCTAACAGCAGGACCAGAACAGAACACGTCGCCCATTGGTTTCTCCAGGACTCACATATGCAGCTTGTAGCAGAAAAACACAAAAGATTTCAGCGTCTTTCGTGAACGCTGGTCAGGGAGAGACCTTAGACACAGCCGAGGGATGGGCCGATAAGCACCTAATGAGCCCTACATGACGCATTAACTGGTATTTATGTAAAACTGATTTCATTTTTGTTATATAAGACTCATGACATCTAACACAACCCTGAAAGCATCTTGCAAAAACAAAACAAACAAAATATAATCCCACCAGAACAAAATCCAAATTAAACCACCAAATAGCTACCAAAGCAGGCATTTTTAAAGGCCACAGAGGCATGYTTTTATTTTGCCCTTGAAGAAATAGTTTATGCAAAATTCCTGGTATAAGCAAAACATTTCTAAAACCCAGGTTCCCTTCCTATTTAATATCTTGACAAGGGACTTAAAAGGCAATGACTTTATACAAGGGAAGTACCTGAGATGTCACCTGATGTTGATCAAAATATGACAGTTGCTGCAGTTTTGTGAACACAGTCTCTAGGGTTGGGAGTGCTTCTTGTTTGCTCTTCCTGGCTTTTTGCCCTTCAGCTTTACAGGTAAAAAGTTATTTTGGTCATTTTATATTTAATGGAGCCCTAGCAGTTTTGCATTATTACTGCTCTTAAGACAACTAACAGAAATCTTAATGCTTCATTCACGACTACATAAAGCCCTACTTGTTTCAGCTTTCAGTTATGCTTGGGAAAAACATGTTCCACAACATGTAATAATATAAAATCTACTTTGAGGAGATTCCAGTGGAGAAAGCGGGAAAAAAAAAAGGCATTTGAGGAGCGCTGAAGCTATGAGCGGCACACGGGGAGGCAGTGCACAGCGYTTACCCCCCAGTTCAGTCGTGCTCCTCTCCTTCAGAACTTGCAGGATCTCTTTGGTGATCTTCTCCAGCTGGTGCCTCACTTCATCACACTTTCTCAGTCCCATAAAGGAGGATCATGCGCTGGTTGCACTCATGACTCGAGGATTCGCCCTGCAAGGACAGCAGCGAGTCAAGCCTCCTTCCTTCTCTGTGCCACCCCTTGCAAATCGAGATGTGGATGCTGCGGATCAGCGAGCACTGCCGCTCAGCTGCGGGTGCAGCGAGCTCTGAGCTCAGCCATGAACACCAGCAGTATAAGTAAAACAAACCTGAGCTCCTCACTGAGATCCTTGACTACCTCCAAARGTGTCTCCTGTGGTTATCAACATGAGGGAAGCAAAGCCAAGTCGAGGTGAAAATACACAGGGAAAAATGTTTTTTTTTTTTTTAATTATGATTTCTGCAGGCATCTATAGGGGCAAACTGAGGAGAAAGATGATCCTCCAAACTGTAACTTGGATTGATACTCAGCAGTAAATCAGTGAATAGAAGACAAGRTGCCAGCAACTGTGTGCCAATTTTTTTTGCTAAGCACAAGCCCATTAGAAAGATGATGTAGTCCAACTCATTTGCATTCTACCAAAAAAACGAAATATGCATTTTCTATTTAAATTCTAATCRCCTATATTTAGCCTTCTAATAAAGTGTACTATGGAGCATCACTGCACCGCACATAAAAGCTTGGATAAATGCTCTGAAAGTCACGTAACGCGTAATTATTTTGTGCAGCAACACAAGGATCTGCTCTAAAACATTAAATCACAACTTCCCTTTCATTAGTCTCGTTACAAGAGGGGTTTTGGGGCTCCACATGGTAGCAGAGCAGCGCAGGCACCGCAGCACCGCGGGGCCCCCGCGCTCCCCTTTAGCCCGGCGGCTCCGCGGAGCCCCAGCTCCCAGGAACCAGAAACCTCCCGCACTTGGGGAGATTCTGCTCTGCCCTCCCTCGGGGCACAGGAGCACTGAACGCCTCCGGGAGCCTTCRCACGGCCAGCCTGCAAACCCCTCTCAAACCCTTTCCGACCACCATCATCATCATCATCACCACCACCAAACCCGGTGCCTTTCAAAGGAAGCGGTGGGAGGGCCAAGGGGCACAGATGCCTGGCAAAGCTGCTGCTCTCCGCAGCGCATCCTTCTAACTCCAGCTCTAGCCAAAACACCTCAGGTTTCCGGAGTGCACCGCTGCCCTCCCAAACACATCCCTAAGCACAGCCCTGCAAACCCAGGGTCACTTGGCATCAACATTCCTGCCTGCTTTTTCTGCCAATAAATTTGGATCAGATTTGATCAGACGGAGGTCTCCAGGCGAACACTCGTGTTTCCAGCCTCGTCCTCTCCCCGGTGACRGGCAGGCGGCCTGGCCGGCGCGGTGCCGGGGCCAGCTCGCGGTGCCCAGGGCGCGTGGAGCACGATGGGCTGCGCGAGCCCTTGCGGTGCCTGCACGGCTCGTGTGCAGCTCCCGCGTGCTGCTGTGYGAGCGCTCGCGGCTCCCGCGCGCTGCTCCGGTCAGCAAAACACTCAGTTTGCAAATGTTAAGTGCGAGCTAAGCTGCAGCACCGCCCTGATACAGCGACTCGCCCAGGACAGTGCTGGGCAGAAGAGTCAGACTGGGGGAAATGGTACAGAGAAATGCCCAGTATCTCTATAAATGAAACCCCAAGAACTTGACCTAAGAGGATGTGGTAATAGATGTGTGAGCATCAGCTAGCAGAGACTCTTTGCTAGCGGCTGAGCAGGTGCAGTTAGGAGCAGATACCTGTGCCAGATTTTTCTGAGGAGGAGCGACTCTGTGGAGCGCTCCGTGCACACGAGAGCCATGCACAGCGGGGACCTTTACTCACCGCTAAATCCGCAGTCAAAAGCRGCCCAAGCTCTGCCCCTTTTCCCCGGGAAGGAGGAAGCAGAGCRGGATGCTCCTCCCCACAATTTCAGAGGGGGAAAAAAAAAAAGAAAAAAAGCTGCTTGCWTTTTTTGCTTTTTTGCAACTCGTGCAGACAGTTATGAAACCGCAGCGCCGTCCTGCAGCCGTGCACCGCGGCGGCTCACGAGGTCCCAGCACCGCTCTACATGAGCGGAAATGGCATCGGGTATACAGGAACATAGAGCAGCCGAGACCCCATGCACTTGTCCCCCCCAAAACTGCAAGTGGATTCAAAAGATCCCCCAGATTAACCAAAACACCCTCRTTTGCTTGTTTTCCCAGGAGGGGCAGAAGCCGCGATGCCAGCGCAAGCCGCAGGCAACCTGAGCGCCTCCAGGAACGTGAGCGCCTGCCCCAGCGACAGCAGCATCAGCCAGGTCATCTTCCCGCTGCTCTACACGCTCCTCTTCCTGGTGGGCATCACCATGAACGGCCTGGCCACCTGGATCTTCTTCAAAATATCCAGCAAATCCAACTTCATCATCTTCCTCAAGAACACGGTGATCTCCGACATCCTCATGGTGCTCACGTTCCCCTTTAAGATCCTCAGCGACGCGAAGCTGGTGCCGTGGGTGCTGCGCGGATTCGTCTGCCAGGTCTCCCAGGTCGTCTTTTACTTCACCATGTACATCAGCATTCTGTTTCTCGGCCTCATAACCATTGATCGCTACCAAAAAGCCACCTCTCCCTTCCGCACGTCAACCACRAGGAGCCTGCTGGGAGCCAAGCTCCTGTCCACGGCAATCTGGGTGTCCATGTTCATGCTCTCCTTACCCAACATGATCCTGACGAACAAGAAGAAGACGCCGAGGAACGTGAAGAAGTGCGCTCTCCTCAAGTCCGACTTCGGCCTCGTCTGGCACGAGATCGTCAACTACGTCTGCCAGCTCATCTTCTGGGCCAGCCTGGCGGTCATCGTGGTGTGCTACGTACTCATAACCAGGGAGCTGTACAAATCCTACAGAAGGACGAAAAGCACGGGGAAAGCGGTGTCCAAAAAGTCTGTAAACCTCAAGGTTTTCATCATCATTGCCGTGTTCTTCATCTGCTTTGTGCCCTTCCATTTTACCAGGATTCCCTACACGTTGAGCCAAACGAGGCAGGTCTTTGACTGCGCAGCCCAGAGGACCTTGTTCTACCTGAAGGAGAGCACGCTGTGGCTGACGTCCCTCAACGCCTGCCTGGACCCCTTCATATACTTCTTTCTGTGCAAGTCCTTCCGYAAGTCGCTGCTGCAGACGCTGTGCAGGGCCCCGGTGCCGGCGGAGCTCCGGCCGCGCGGCGCCGACCACAACGACGGYGACGACACCGACGAGACCCCCGTCTAGACGGGCACAAAGCGGTGCCTGCTGCTGGAACTAACAACGCACCAGGGCTCGTGCTGATCAACTCAGTGTCTCTGATTCTGTCACCTTCTTTCTTGCCCTGCGCGCTAGACAAGCGCACTGGAACTAACGTCACCGGTTGCAAATATCAGTGGAGAAATTGCAAAGCCTGAAGAAAGCAAAAGAGCATCCATTGCTCAGAGCTGTCAGAATGAACACACCAAAGCCAAGAAATGACACAGGATGAGGTTACAAACTGCCAAATTTCCACAGTTCATCCTGAATTTGGGCCACAGCAGACGTGTCCACACCAGAATAAACCTGGGAGATGCAAATGAATTCCACACAAGCGTGATTCTTCATTCCAGGGAGCTGTCACCTGGCCTGCATCTCCGTACAGATACAAGACATACACAAGCTACTTATCTCTTCAGATTTCTGGCACCAGAATAACATTTTGCTTATTACATTATACACTTGCAATTTTTAATACACTGGCCAATAATTACTAGCTGCATGTCAGAGGAAATTATTTTGTAATCAGGCTTATCTAGATGTGACTTAAATCTTTAAATATTTCATCTTATTATGTGAAGAATAAACAAGCGTACCTTTTATAAAGAAAGCCATACTGTGCTGGGAAATGTCTGGAACCTCCCTTTACCGAGTGCTCAGTCCTGTGGGAAGGAGGGCTCGAGGTCTTTAGGTCTTTACTAAGGGCAGCTTTGTTTGCACAGTCCAAAACGTTAACCACTAAWGCCTTCGCACTGGAAAGGTGGAAGGAAAGGGGGTATTTTGGGAACGCCTGCCTGCATGGTCCCAGAGCAAGCACTCGTCACACGCGACACGAGGGCGGCTCGTTGCTCCCCTCGCTGGCCCATGGCACAGGCATTCCCATGCAGCACACGGGGTGCTCAGCGGTCCCTCCCCGCGCACACCACCGGGGAAGGAGGCAGGTTTGGTGCATCCCATCGCTGCGGCGGCCGGTGGCTCCAGGCGCGGGGTGCCCAGGGTCTCTGCACACGTCTGCACCCCGGGCTGCGCGGGGCAGCGCGCGCCCTCCCACCAACGGCAGCCCGGGAAAGCAGCCCGGGAATTAACGCCTGGGCCAGTCAATCACCTAGCGATGACTGTCGCTATCTGGAAATACCGAGCTATCACACACCCAGCTCGCAGGCAGGCGCCAAGGTTTCTGGCCACACTCCAGCTCCCAGCYCTGAAGGGACCACATTCGAATGGCCCGGTGCCACAGGCACGAGCTCTGCTCCACGCACGAGCAAGGGCACCAGCAGTGACCCCGGGCCACACAGGCCGCTTGTTCCTCATCAGCAAAAGCAGATTCTGCTTCTCGCCACCAAGCATAAGGCAGAGAAGGGCAAGAGCAGATGGGATTAACAAGGGCAGAGCCTGAAAATAAGGAAGGAAGCGGCAGGACGTCCCAGCAGCAGGAGCCTCATCCTCCTGCACGCTTCCCACTGCCGGTGTCTGCTGGGGGCACTGCGAGCGGCRCGCGGGGCCGCCGGCCGCGCTGGTACCGCGGGGCGCGGGGACACGGCGCTTACCCCAGAAACGCTGCTTAATCGCAGGAAACGAAGAAACGCTCTGCACTCGGTGAGAAATATCACAAGTCTCTTCCCAGAAGCACAGTGCTTTTGGGCCATGAGCATAAATTTTCTATTCAAGGGGCTATTATATTTTAAAATATATTTTCATGCAAAGACAAATTGTTCTCTAGGCTGCTACACTGCATTCTGTTGCTAGACTTTGCTGTTATATTATCTTAGGTCTCTGTAACTAATTATACCACTTTTAACTCTTCATTAGTGGGTATCAGTCTATTAACAACCTGGACAAAGATTTACATTTTATATGAATATCAAAACTGGTCAATGCAGTTAATGTACGTACATTGAGGGGGTTTTTGTTTGCTTGCACAGAGCTGCCAGGCACAGTGAAGATCATGTCTCTGTAAACGTAAAGCTCATCTCGGGTGCATCCCCTGTTTTCTCTCCCCCAAGTCCGTTTCATACGATGGGGGACTCGGCCAACGCGACCATCGGTGGCAGCTCCGGCGGGACGCCCTGGCCGGCCACGTGCCCCCGGGACACCGGGGCCACCCGGCTGCTCTTCCCCGTGCTCTACAGCCTGGTCTTCCTTCTGGGGCTCACACTGAACAGCCTGGCTTTCTGGGCTTTCTTCCACATTCCCACCACATCCACGTTCATCGTCTACTTGAAAAACACGGTGATCTCTGATTCCATAATGACCCTGATGCTCCCTCTGAAGATCCTCGCGGACTCCGGCCTGGGCCTGTGGCAGCTCAAGGCGTTTGTTTGCCGCTTCTCCGCTGTAGTATTTTATGAAACCATGTACATCAGCATYGTGCTCCTTGGTCTCATTGCGTTCGACAGGTTTCTCAAGATCGTGAGACCGTTTGGGAAGTTCTGGGTGCAAAACGTCAACTCGGCCAAAATCCTGGCGGGCCTCGTGTGGCTCTTCTTCTTCGCCCTCTCTCTGCCCAATATGATCCTGTCGAACAAGCAGGCGACGCCGCGGTCGGTGAGCAAGTGCGCCGCGCTGAAGAGTGACCTGGGGCTGAAGTGGCACGAAGCCGTCACCTACGTCTGCCAGGTCGTCTTCTGGACCACCCTCGTCCTCATGCTAATCTTCTACATCGTGATTGCCAAGAAGGTGTTCGAGTCTTACGCGAGGACAGAGAGGAAGGACAACAAAAGCCAACAGAAGATAAAGGCAAGAGTCTTCATCATTTTCACGGTGTTTTTCCTGTGCTTTGCCCCGTTCCACTTCAGCAGGATCCCCTACACGCTCAGCCAGACCAGGAGCGGGATGGACTGTGGCCTGCGGAAGCGGCTCTTTGTGGCCAAGGAGAGCACGCTGTGGCTCGCGGCCACCAACGTCTGCATGGATCCCCTCATCTACCTGCTCCTCTGCAAGCCCTTCAGAGAGAAGGTGCTGGGCACAAGGGCAGAGGCGCTCACGAAGGCGGCACCTACGAAGCCCGTGCCCGAACCGGACACCACCGTGTCGGCCACCGGACCCTGAGACTGCAGCGCCGAGCACCCGACCCTCTGCCTGGACGGTTACCCAGAAGCCAAGGAACAACCGGTTGCAYTGTGCTGTACAAAGCAGTAGGGTGTTCTGCTGCGTCCCAATAAAATCTGCACACGGAGTCGTGCGTTTCCACTCACTGCCTGGTGCGGGGAGGCCTGGTCCGGGGCTGAGCACAGCCTGCCCACGGGCTGCCCATGCCCGCCACCACGCGCCCTCCTTCGCCCAGGCCGGGCTCAACACCCCGGAGCACCCCGGGAGCTGCAGCCTGGACCCGGCCTCGGGGAGCTTGCTCTGGGTCCCCGGCTTCCCAGAAACCGGCACCTCRCCCCGACCATTAAACACTATTCAGAAATCAACTCCCCTCGCCCGCCCCCACGCAGCACTTCACAGGATTCATTGGGCTGCACTAGCAAAACTGCACGTTAAGCTGGTGAAACACTGTGCGGTTCAGCAGCTGCCTGAGGAGAAGCGGAAGGAGGGGCCTGCAAGGGCGCACGGTGCGCGCTGCGGCCGCAGAGCGCGGGAGCGGGGCGGGCGGAACGGCGGCACCGGCCGGCAGGGACCGCGGGGGGACCCGGGCGGCACCGCGGCCGGCAGGGACCCGGGCACAGCCCCGGGCGGCACCGCGGCCGGCAGGGACGGAGNTGGTGAAACACTGTGCGGTTCAGCAGCTGCCTGAGGAGAAGCGGAAGGAGGGGCCTGCAAGGGCGCACGGTGCGCGCTGCGGCCGCAGAGCGCGGACCGCGGGGGGACCCGGGCGGCACCGCGGCCGGCAGGGACCGCGGGGGGACCCGGGCGGCACCGCGGCCGGCAGGGACCCGGGCACAGCCCCGGGCGGCACCGCGGCCGGCAGGGACGGAGGAGACAGTCCAGGAATTCCCAGTTCCGGCGAGGTTTACCAGTACTTTCACTGCAATGTTCACCATTGCCCAAATCTTATTTTTCTCCCAACTTAACTTGAAAAGGTAATAAAACAGCAGCTCAAGGCTGCCAAGGGAAGCCTTTGCTTGCCTTAGCTCCAGCAGCACAGGGGAGCAAACACAGGCACGGTTCCCATTCCGTGCACAATCCCTGCACTCCGCCAGCACTGTGCCACGGCAGAGGGCTTGTTCCTGCTGCATCCAGGCGCTCCCCTGCGCAGCCCGTCAGGCCTAGGCTGGTGCCGACACGGGAGCCCCGGTGCCGGCTGCCCCGGTGCCGGCGGCGCGGGCAGCCGCGGCTCCCGCTGACGCTGCCTCGCACAGGGCCAGCAGCGGCGTTCCAGAAGAAACCCATCCCATCTGCGTAGACAAAGGTGAGCTGGTTTTGGGGGGTATTTATTTATTTTTGAAAAAGAAGGATATTATACCCTTGCCTAACACTTTCACGATTCATCCCTCCAGATTTCATGCCAAATTGTACCTCCTCAGACAGACAGACAGCAATTTCATTCCCAAATGCCTCGGGACAGTTTCTAAATGRCAGATTTAGATGTCCTGACTTTCAGGCACAGCAACACAAACCACTATTATCAAAGCTCCTGGGCCTCTGACTACTGCCAACCTTCTCCTAGCTTACAGCTATGCTCCAATTAACCACAAATGCAAAACAACAATTTGCATCATAAACAGGAGCTGGGAAAGCCAAGCAGAGCACCCAAGGTGCTCCCCAGATGAAGGCACAAGAACACACGATCTCACAGTCTGTAGACCAAGTCAAAATGCACCAGAACAGAATTTAGGCTGTAAGAGGATCAGTCACCAAGGTGCACAACTTCAGCGGGTTCCTGATGGGCCCAGCGCTGGGAAACCCGGGAAAGAAGAAACAAACTTTAAAGCAATTCCCATGTAAGTCTTTCCTTAAAGCAATTCCCATCTAGCTCCCTCCTCCTCCTGTTGCCCTTTAGAGGCAGCCTTCAAAGTGGTGTTCAAATAAATAAGGAGAAGCCTCAAACGCTGCCGAGCGACRCGCCGTGACCGAAGCGCCTGCGTCCTGCACACCTGAAGTCGTGCGCCCCACACGGGCAGTCCTGGTCAGCCCAGCCCAGCTCACGTTGAATGAGGACAAAAAGYGAGTCTCATTTATTATCCAGGAGGCTGAACGTGCTTCAAAAATAGACGTGTAAACGTGGAGCCTGTATTGCCAAACGCGATAGTAAAAGCATTTGAGCATGAAGCAACACGGTAATTGTTGTAATAACGTCGTACAAGCTCTTATGAAACCTGAGGCTTGCTCTGTAATCACCAGAACATGAAAGGGGCCATCCAGTCCTTAAATAAGAGCCAAGCAGTGGGTCAGCTTTCAGCTGCTGGTCTCCCCAGAGCTTTGCCCCTCTCGCACCGCGTTCACGGCCAGCCCCACAGCCCTGCCCCTGAGCAGAGCTGCTAGTCCTGACTTGCTCCAGCCCGGGACCGCCAAAAACCCGTGGCTGTTAACATCCTGCTAGGGGATGCTATGCTAATGAATTCTAATCCACCCAGTGCTACCGATGCATTAAAATAGAGATTTACAAGGAAAATTTAACGTGCTATTGTACCACATTCAAAAAAAGAAAAGCATTCCCATGTAAATTATATCGACCTATTTATTAAATGACTACTGTTAGCATACCGAGTTTGGTATATGTACTGCAAAGGCAGCGTAACAACTACCAAACTCTCTTGCACTCCGCAATAAATTAAACTGCAGGTGTTTAAACATCTCCATTTTCCTTTCCTCACCGCCACGTGTTCGCCAGGACTGTTTGCTGGATCCCAAAGACAGCAGCAGGGTTGGAGGTGCCGGAGAGCAGGAGCAGCCCAGAGCAGGGCCCGCCGTCCCGCCTGCCCTGCCGCGGGTCACCAGCACTGGGACACGGTGCCGGCACGTCCCGGGCACGCAGGCTCGCGCAAGGCAACTTCAGAGGCAGTGTCAAAACTGCTGCTGCTGCTTGGGATCTGCCTGCAAAACCTGCAAAGCTTTTGAAGCTGCAGGGAGAGGACTGCAAACCATGGGGTGGTTCTCAGATCACAAGAGCAGGGGCCAAGTTCTCAGGACAAGAGAGAGGAGGTCATCGCTCCTCGCGTGTTGGGGCAYGCGCTCCTGGTCCACCGGGTACAGAACCACTGCAGCACGGCCACAAAGCTTGCAGGGTTTGYTCGCTGCCAAGCTCTGACAGCTCCAGACCCTGGAGCTCCCAAGGAAGGACTGTCTATTAGGAGGCATCTAGGTGGGAGAGGCAAGGACTCCTCCTCCTCCTGCAGTGTTTGCAATAGGCGCAAGAGGAGAGGGTGTCTCTTCAGGAAATCTGAAGGGCATGAAAGATATGATGAGTGGGAGCCCATGTGGACAGGCTGCCACTTACATGAGTGCTCTGACATATGATAAGACATTTCATGGGCCACAACCTGCCTGCCTACACTGGCAGGGTCCTTGGTGAATCCTCAAGACCGACCACACGGCAAGAGAGGTGAACCTGCGCACCAAGCATCACACCGCCTGACGTGCAGAGGTGCCACCACCATTCCCCTCCAGCCACATGGAAGTACCCACTACTGAGCACCCAGGGACAGCGGAAAGCTGGGGGAGGAAGATCTGGGATGACTGATGTGAGGAACCCCAAGCTGGAGCGCTGCTGAACGGCCACACAGAGCAGCAGACGCAGCACACGGGTCACTCACCTGCAGGGACTGCATCCTCATCCTCTCCGCCACACACCAGCCTGACCCCAGCAGCTCCTCAAGARGATGCATGGCCAAACCGAGCAGCAGCACACGGCAGCCTGCAACAGGTTCAACACATCTCGCAATCGGGCTGACCTGGTCAGCATCACCTGGGCACAAGCAGAGCAACCACAGACCCTGCCAGGCTCAGCTGTACCGCTATGGTGTCCCATGCTGGGTATGGTTTGCATAAGCCAGACCCTCAGACAAGAAATATCCCTGCCAACATCACAAAGYGACTGCAAAGAGAGCATCTTGTCAGAGCTTAAACTCAGAGCCCCCCAATAACAGGTAGCTGCTCACAAACGTGAGTAGCAGCAAGGTCAAAGAATAAAGTCTTTGACCACAGTTGTTTTGGCATTGATAACTGAGAAGATCACAGAAAAAAATGGTGCTAAGGTAAGAAAGAKAACTGAGTATAAACAGACTTGAGTCCAGCATCAAACATCTGGAATGGGGAAAGAGATGTGAGAAATTACCAAAAGAGCTAAGAAATGAAGAAAGGGATTCAAATGGAGTTTTCAAAATTCTCAAAAGGCAGGTGACCAAGTCAAGCCCAGGTGAGCAGAGAACTTGTACAGCACCCTGTTCTTAGAGAAAACAGACCGTGCTCAAAGCCAAGCAAAGACCCCGAAGCTTGAGGTCCATGAAGAGCAGAGACTAAAAAARAGGCAGATGTTCTCAGAGCTTTGGATTTTCCTGCCCAGCACAGAGCCAGAGGAGAAAGGACAAGAGGGTCAAACAGCCTTTAAGAGCCACAGATCAACAATAAGGTCTTAACATAACTGGGAGAGCAAGAACAGCGATTTACATAGGGAAGGGAGAAGCACCTTCAAAGAGCTGCAGTGCTGAGAAGGCGGCTGCTCGCACGGGGGTGCAGCACGGCCTCACCGAGCTCGTCCTGCCAGGGCTCTGCACAGCAGCAAGCACGGGAGCACCAGCGATGCTCACACACAAAGCCCCGGGGGAAGCGGAGCAGAGGCTGGAAGGAAACACAGCAGGCACCTCCGGAGAAGCAGCTGTGAGGAAATCATCAGCTGCTAAGCAGGAGAGCAGAGGAACGGGCTCCCCAGTGCTGAGCTGGCTGAGAGGGGCTCGGCGCGCCTCCTCTCCCCGCGACAAGCACCACCTTGCCGAGCCCTCGGCGACACGACGCTCGCGCCGCCCCACGCGGGTCCCCGCGCGAGCAGGGCGCACCAGCACTCCTGGAACATCCAGCCCCTGGGACCAGTTTGGCAACTTCCAGTAAGGAAGCTACGAGCACCCAGAGGAGTGTAACACGCTCCTGCTGCCTTCATTTGCATCACCTGTTTGCCATGCAAAAGCTGGCCTTGAAAGACAAGCYGTGTCAGCGACGTGCTGCAGCCAGGGACTGCATGCGACTGCGAGCGGTCCTGGGG